ATAATTTCATTCAGAAATTACTTCAATCTTTTATGGTGGACATCTTTTCGATTTCTGAATCAAAATTATTATTATTATTATTTATTTTGTGGGGCTTGAAGTAAAAAAATAAATGTGTAGGCCTGTGGTGTAGGCCTATGGGATTGTAAAAGAAAAAAGTAAAATGTTTTTACAAATCTCATTAAAAGGTCGAAATTCTTGATAAAAGCAATGTTGGTAGAAGTAGCCTATAGTTTTTTTTTAAGTTTATTTATTTATTTTAAAAAAGTTATTGATATTTGAAAACCTTTCATCTATATTGTATGTAAGGGTTTATTTTTTATTTAATTTTTTTGAGTCAATCAAAATTTGATGTACGGCAGACCTAGTATTGTGACAGGCGATCAAATCAGTAGCCCCTCACTGCAAAACAAAGATCCAGGGGGCAGGGTTGGAACCACATCTAGGGGGTGGAGATGGGTGGGTTTAGGGATCAGGGGGTGGAGACGGGTAGGTTTAGGTATATGTAAGGTGGGAGGAGTTGCCCCTGGATCTTGTGTTCTGCAGTGAGGACCATCTTGATCAAATGGCCAGTGGTTGTACATAACCAATGTGTTGTATTGGTTCTACTGACATCTAGTGGAGATGGAAGGCATCAAAAGAAAATTGGAAAAACCCTAAATTGGTGTTGCACTGTAGGCCTAAACTTTGCCTAAAATTTGCTTGCCTATATGATTAATTCAGCCAGACCCAGGAGATGTTGATAAAGCACCAAACATAATGGCTTGGGGTATTGTTAATGAGGTCTGTGGAAACTTATAGGGGATAATCCCCAGCAGTTCATCAGAGACTTCATCTCAAATTAAATTAGCTGCCTGCGTGGTGCCGAGTTGGCTTCTCTGGAGTTCAGCTGTGATGGTAATGGCTGCTGTGACAGCTCTCCTCTGGCTCAGTCCAGCTCCATCCCTGTCTCCAGTCTCTGCCTCCACACGAGGCCAGTTATTCTATTCCCCTCTTCCTTTTTTTCCTTCAGGACTCTAGCTCCCATAGTTATGTTTGTTTTGCTTCCCTGTTGCTGGCAGATTGGAAGTGGTCAGGGGTGGCTGACAGTGATAAAAGGGGATATTTTGCTTTGTTTGTGTGTTTGCGATGGGCTGCAATGTGTGTGTGAAAAGGCCAAGAATTTTATGTGAATGTATCGGAGGGCATCATTAGTAGAAGCTGACTGCTCTCCAAGCCCTCCGGACCAATTTAGTGGAAGAGACAAAAACGTTTTGATCCCGGGTTGCATGATGGGGAGCCGAGTGAAGCCATGCAATCTATACTGGATTTCTTACTCCTCCATTTCTTGGTGCTTGGAGTCCCTGTGGTTAGGAAGTTGTAACAATAAATTTGGTCTGTCCCTCAGGGTCATTGCGGACTCATTCTTGTTTGCAACAACAGGAATTTAACAGGGTCAAAAAGCTACAGTAGACATCCATGGGTCATCCACTATTTTGTCTGCCATTCACTTATCAATTCTTTGTTTTTCTTTTTCACTCACAAAACTCAAACCAAATTTCCTCCTTGAGCTTAGAATGAGTTTGATGCAACATGTCACTCTTAAAAATAAAGGTTCCAAAAGGGTCTTGAAGGTATTGATGGTTCAATGAAAAACCTTTGAGATCCATAGAACACATCTGATGCAAAAAAGGTTCTTTAAAGTGGAAAAAGGTTCTTCAGACTATTCAAATGATCCCCACACTACGAAAAAATGGTTCTTTTAAGAACCGAAAGGTTCTCTGGGGAACCAAAATTGGTTCTAAGGCTCTTTTATAACCTTTATTTTTAAGAGTGTAGATGAATCATTTTTGGTTCCTCAAAGAACCTTTCAGTGAACATTTCCTAAAAGAACCAGTTTTCTTTTTGAGAAGAACATTTTAATAATCTAAAGAACATATATCTACTTCAAAGAACCTTTTTTGCTGCGATGCCATAGAAGAATGATTTTTGGTTCCCCAAAGAACCTTTCAGTAAACCCATCTTTAAAGAACCTTTTTCTCTGTGAAGAACATTTTAATAATCTAAAGAACATATATCTACTTCAAAGAACCTTTTTTGCTGCGATGCCATAGAAGAATGATTTTTGGTTCCCCAAAGAACCTTTCAGTAAACCCATCTTTAAAGAACCTTTTTCTCTGTGAAGAACATTTTAATCTGAAGAACCTTTTTCCACTTCAAAGAGCATTTTGTTCCATGCAAAGGTTCTATGGAAGTTAGAGGTTCTTCATGAAAACATCAATGCCAATAAAGTAACTTTATTTCTAAGAGTGTGGCAGGTGTTGTTCAGTATCAGCAATTGTGAATCCATCAGATATTACCGTAATCCCTGCTGTTCTTTGAAATTAGTGCTAAGCTATCTCGCCAAATCTGAACCATTATAGCTAGCTCGTCTAGCTTGTGCGATATTGTGTCAGTTATATTATACTTAATGCACTAGTAGTAGTCGTCAATAAAAGTGCAGTTTTTGTGCATGTCCAAACATAAACAGATGCATTTCCGCATAATTCCTTAAATAAATTTCCTGAGCAACCAGCAGAAACAACTGCCAATGAGATTTTCAACACAAGTAATTATGTTTTCGCATGTTTTCACCCCCTCCTTCCTAAAAAAAAAAAAAGAAATCCTTATAACTAAGCAATTCAAAAGCAATTTTCTCTGTGGGAAGAGAATGTAATTTGCTATTCAGTGACATTCTGTGTAAAAAAACAGGAGCCGGTGGTAAAAGGTATCTCTAAAGTCTGTGTACAGTGCATTAATGGGCATAACCAGGGGAGGAGGGGAGAAATGTCAGGGAGGGCACCATTTAATGACTCCAGAATAATCCCTCTCTCATTAGTGAAGGCTCTGAGGATCCACCGGGGCTTGAACTGGTAGAGCGTAGCATGCCACTACTGTCTTTATCTTCATATTAAACCATTTGCATAACATTACAGCCACTGGAGAGACTCCCTTAACAAGACCAGTTGCTCTTCATTTTAAAAGGGGACAGTGGGTGTCTCAGCAAATCTATTCAGCGTAAATGGAACTGCAGCATGAGGTGAGAGGGATCAGGACGCAGCATTTGGAAGCACATTTATCATACACTTGATCATGCATCAGGCTCGGTTTGGGGTGCCTCCAAAAATCCATACACAGTAGCTCTACCATCTATCCTGAATTTCCAGGATTTATGGACTGCCTTGCATCCTGTGATTGTGAATTGCACTGAACGGAATGTGTGGGGGATTGATTTCAAGTCCATCAACATGGTAGTTTGTCCGGGGGGAGAACATCAAGGCTATATTGTAGAAAATACTCTTGCTCATCTGTGCACCTAGCATGAGACATTTTTGTCACTCTATTGCCTGTGGAAGAATGCAGCTTACTTTAAGAAAGGAGAGAGAGAGGCGTGACAAAATTAAAATCAGTCATTTTTTTCCCTGAGGAGCAGATCAATTTCCGCAGACTGGGTCGAGATATTTTCCAGCATTAGTCTTTCTCGACATGAGCACAGCACCTAAACGGCCTGCCAGCGGGAGTCTCGGCACAGCTGCACGCTTCAGTAGAGAACAGTTACTTCTGCCGCTCTGAGTTTATTTGCGCCTCACCATGAGAATTGCCATAATTTACCCCACCAACACATCACCTCCCCAAAAAATGAGAGAAAGGGAATAGTGTGTGGAATGAAAGAAGCAAATTGATTCGATGTGATATTGTTTTCTGTTTTTTATTACGCCTATTCATTTTCTCAGAAAGAAATGCACAATTGGACCGGTGCCCGAATTCAGTGTCATACTGTGGAACCAGACACAAACCTTCATAATGGCACGGCCTGTTGGCTATGTTTAAATTATGGAAACAACTACAGCATTTGAACAGCTCTGGCCTTCTAAGTGCAGTGCAGGATGAAGCATGTACAAGTTACACATTTCCTTTATAGACTTAGACTTGTAGCATCAGTTAAAGTAACATGACATCTTGCATTTTGATTTGTGATCATCAGCAGGTTTTCTTGTTAAATCTGATATATTACATCCACACGACATCTACATGTTATAATAAATACAAAAATAAAACTAGAAATATGTTTGACAAGATGGAGAGGGTTGTGACCAGTGTTGGGTAAGTTAGTCTAAAAACGTAATTAATTAATAGCTACTAATTACATCTTCAACAGTGTAATTAGACTACTTTACTAATCGCTGTATCTAAAAAGTATTTCATGACTTATTACTTTCTAAATCTTATATAAACCTCGACCAGTTAAACAATCCAAGGATAAACGTGAAACGCTCTTTCAATTCTAAAATAAATAAATCTCGAACTGACCAAAGTATTTAAAGGGAAAAGGTTACATTAAAAACATACATTTTAACATCAGATGTTATATTTTGATGGTCAATCCACTATACAGAATTGTTTTATATAGTATTTAATGCTATTACATCAGAAGTAACTGTAATTAAATTACAGAAAAATTCAGAGTAATCCCTTACCTTTTCAAAAGAAAAGTAATTAAGTTACAGTAATTAATTACTTAGTAAAGCATTAAACCCAACACTGGTTGTGACACTACTTTCTAGTGCTATATAATGGACACACAAACAGATAGTGTGTAGGCATTTACCACTGTGTAAATGTGATTAACCTGTCGTTAGCCTTTGATGGTATATTTCTATATTTGCTTGTAATTGTATTTGTTTTTTCATATGTATTACATTTGGAATACATTTTTTATTAACTTTTGTGATAACATTTCCACTAATATGATAATATAGGATTTGAGTAAACTTGGGGATAAAAATCCAAACAAATACATGTGTACAGTAGGCTACTACTAAAAAGCTAAACCTTCCTTGATCTCTTCTATATTTAAAAAGAAACAGGCCTACGTGCATTTGTTAAAGACCTGAGAATTGGACTTGCCTGAACTGCCATTTGTTGTACCTGTGCCGGGGTCATTCTCTGCTCAATCTGTGGACATCAAACCTCTCCTCCTCTCCTCCTAAACGTTGCCCAAATCTGGTTGCGTCACGAGTGGTGTCTGAGTCTAATTAAAGCCATATTGAGAAAAACGTAAATACGACCCAAGTTCCTCCCTCTTGTCTTCTGCTGCAAGAGAGCGCGTACTCGGTGCAAGCGGTTTCAAGGGACCAGTGCTAGCAGATCTTCTGAGGAAAGTGCATCTGTGCAAAGTTGCAGTTCATTTTTAAAAGTTTATATAGGCTATTACTAAACTGCATTAGATAATAACGCAACAATGGCTGGTTTGAAGGTAAGTGCACTTTGGACTGCCTGGACGATTGCTTGTCTAAAATAAAACATTAAGTTCAATAAACTTACATAGCCTATTGTAATTGTATCGCAGGCCTAATGCAGTTTATTCACGAACTTTTTCCAGTTATACGACGTTTTCGTTAAATACTTTTTTTTTTTTTCATTTTTATTTGGAGACATAAACCAACTGCAAAATCTATGCTTGTTATTATGTTTGAAGTAGCGCTGTGGAGTCACCGAAATATCCTATGAGCATAGTGAGGTCCGAATCTCTCTTTTGAGTCGGATCTTTTTATTGAATAGGTAGAGGCGTTTCACCAAACGATTTGTTTTCTTTTAGAGCAGTTCACGAATGGACATCTCATCGGGACATGTAGCTGAATTTCTATTTTTGTTTAATGTAAATAAGACTTTATAGTTTAGTTTTATAGTGAGCTGAATTATAGAACTGAACAACTAACTTAACTGGGACACATGACATTACAACAAACACCATCATTAATAAAACTTAAACAGTAAGTATATGTTTTTTTCTCTCTCTAATGATTTATAACAAGCAATATACAACTCCAGGGACATCGCTCAATTGATTGTATGAATCGATTCTTTGAAGCGAACTGTTCGAAAGAACCGATTCATTCAAATGAATTTTTACATGTCATCGTTACAAGAGGAGGAGAGGGGGGGGGGGCGTTTCAATTTGGCCAATCAGATCACTGGAATCTGCAGCTGCCCAGATTAAGTTAATCTCGGCTCTAGGCTACATAAAATGTAGGCTGCATATAACATTAAGTTTATGAATGCTTTTTCAACAGATTACTCGTTTTATAAAACAAAAGCCTAATGTCAAAAGGAATTTTACAGTCTACTACAGTGGACTCTTGCTGATCTCAACTGTCAACTTGTAGACAAGTAGAATGTAAACAACTGGCAAAAAGAAACATTGTTGTCAGGTGAAATCTTAAATTAAAGTGAAATCTTCATTCCTATGAGTTGAACCCTTCCATAGATTTAGTTTTCAATTATACAGACTTGAGATGTTTAAGAGCTGCTTTGTTGACAACATTTGTTGTCGCTCATTCATAAGAAGGGAGAGATGCTCAGATGGTCCACAGCTACTTTTGTGTTTTTTTCTGGTCTTTTGTCACATTTCGCCACTTAGTTTGTTCTGAAAGTAAAAAACTCATATTTAATCAATGCTGTTGAAATAACTGTGTTTGTAGTACATGAGCGGTTTTGGAAATGAGTTTGCCTCTGAGGACTCTCGCTGTCCAGGATCTCTACCTGAGGGACAGGTAATACAAGAACTTCCTGACCAATTAACATTACACATCAAATACTCAGTTTAGTTTATTGTTTTATAGAACAATCCACAAGTGTGTCCATATGGCCTATATGCTGAGCAACTCTCTGGTTCTGCCTTCACTTGCCCACGGTCAACCAATAAGAGAAGGTATATAAAAAAATCAGTATGCAACATAACAGTCAAACCTTAACCCTTATGATTTGTAAGAACTGAGCACAGCAAACCTTTATGCTTATAGCTGGCTGTACCGCATTTTACCCTCTGTGCGCCACAAGCCTTTCACTCCGATGAGCTGTGGAGATCTCACAGAGAGCTGGAATGAAGTGGAGCCTGACCCCAACCAGCTGCTTTGGAAGCCGTTTAACATCCCCAAATCTTCTGAGAAAAAAGTGGATTTCATATCGGTAAAAAATGTCATCCTTGTACTTACTGCTCATATGGCCTTCATATTTAAATCATTCTCAGCGATGCCCATTGTCATCAGTTTGATATTTTCAGGGTCTACATACAGTCTGTGGAGCTGGAGATTCAAAATCTCGTAATGGAATCGCCATCCACATGTTCACCTGTAACACTTCAATGATTGACAAGTCAGTTTGAATTGGATTCAACTCACCAATAATTTGACCTGTGTTCTCTGTACAGTGTTTCTTAAGATGGTACCTTTTCTTTTCATAGATGTTTCCAAAACGCAGATGGTGATTTCCTTATTGGTAAGCTTGTGGTCTTGTTATTCATGCCATATTTTTTCAAGATTATTATATTTTTAATATTTTATAATCTTTCAGGATTAATGTGTGATATAGATGTTTTTAGTAGTAGCACCTTTTGATTATTATTGCAATTTGTGTTTCAGTGCCTCAACAAGGCGAAATCCTGATTACTACAGAATTTGGGAAGATGATGGTGGAGCCCAATGAGATTTGTGTCATTCAGGTGTCACTCTAATATCTATAAAACAATGAGATACAAAAGTTTGGGGTTAGTACAACTTTTTAATGGACTAACAAATAATAATACTAAAAAAAAACGAATGAATGTAGTTTAAAATGTATCGTATGTACACAATATTATGTTAAATATTGTTACAATTTAAAAACTGCTTTCTATTTTAATTTTTTTAAATGTAATTTATTCCTATGATGGCAAAGTTGAGTGGTCATCAGCCATTACTCCAGTCTTCAGTGTCACATAATCCTTCAGAAATGTCATCTTATTATCAATGTTAATAACAGTTGTGCAGCATAATATTTTTGTGGAAACAGTGATAGTTTTTTTCAGGTTTCTCTGATGAACAGAATGTTCAAAACAGTATTTATTCGAAATCTTTTGTAACATCATAGATGTCTTTAATGGCATTTTAATGAATCCTTGTTGAATAAAATTATTAATTTCTTTTAGTAAAAAAAACCTTACTGACCCCAAACTTATTAATGGTATTGTACATTCATGCTTGCATTCAACATTCTGATAAATGGCATAGAAATTGCACTTTTTAATAAAAAACTTCTATGTTTCCCAGCAAGGGATGCGTTTTAGTGTTGATGTGTTTAGAGAAACCAGGGGATACATTCTAGAGGTGTTTGGGGTCCATTTTGAGCTGCCTGACCTGGGTCCTATAGGTATATACAACACAATTTATTTGTAAAGTCTTTGAATAACATATTCCTTTCATAAGCTGCTAAGAAAAGTCTATTAATTTGGTTCTGCATTGCAGGGGCAAATGGACTGGCTAACCCTAGGGACTTCCAAACACCTGTGGCTTGGTACGAGGACCGTACTGTAGCCACAGGTTACACCATTGTCAACAAGTACCAGGGAAAGCTCTTCTCATGTCAACAGGTGCCGTGAAATGATTGTGTCATTAGTAATTCCCATTACTAACACTGCTGGCATCAATAAGGCACTGAACGTTAGATTACACATGAAATGCACAATTTGTCCATGCAGGATAAGTCTTTAATAAGATTTCAAGCATCATTCTGCACTTAATTTATTTCCCTGTGTCCTGTCAAGTGAATAATTGACTTGTTATGGCTGTCAGGAGCAAATCAGAGACCGAAAAAGTAGCATCACAAGACAGTATCACTCATTGTAATGAAAAAAGAAAAAAAAATGCAGATAGAGCAATCTATACTTGAGCAGACAGGTCTCGCCATCTGTACACTCTTAAATGGCTTACTGTCTTGAAGGAGAAGGTACAGCCTTATCCTGTGGTTTTGTACTCCAACTGAGTGCTAAAATTGCTTAAATTAACTTATTATTTGCTTGACTGGGAAAATATGTTTGTGTTTTGTGTGTATGAGTTTTTTAATAGAGTCTGGTAGAGTTATCCCGAGAACTGTTATGCCTGTGAGATTACAAACCTGGGGGTCCCAGAAACCCCAGGGTGCACAGAGAATGCCTTTGTGTGACTGAATGTAACTGTAAAAACAGACACGTTTGAGTCGCTGGATTTGTGTTTGTGTGTACAGTTGTGACTGATATTTTACTTGGTGTGTGTGTGTGTGTGTGTGTGTGTTTATTCATGTGGGTAGGTTGAAACAACAGGAGGGCACATGAGGGTCAGGACAGCAGGCAGTCTCTGCTGTAATGAATTATATTGATTTTGCAGGCAGCATTCAAAATCTGTCTGCTGCAACATTATCAAGCGAAGTGTGTATAAAATTGTGTTTTTTTTTTTTTACGAAGACATTTCTTCGCCCCGTAACCTACTATTTCAAGTGAAGGAGTAGAGCATCAAAACAAAACGGAGCGGTTTAAACATTTTTATTGAGGGCATTCATTCAGGGGCGGTTCTAGACCACAGTAACTGGGGGGGCCCAGACAGGGGCCTTTTGTGCTTTTAGGGGGCACAATTTAAAAATTCATCTTAAACTACTTTAAGTAGCCTATTATTCATTCAGTAATTTTTCACCATGACATGTATCGCTGCAATCTAGATGTAATCTATAACAATGTCAACTAAAATATGTTATATGACACACAGCAGCCACAAACAGATATAGGCTTATGTTTCTACTGAAAAAAACAAACAAACAAACAAACAATAAAACCATCACAGAAAATTTTAATGATTTCCACAACAAATAACATTACAAACAATAAATTTTTAATCATTAAACCCATTAAAAATGGTTTTCTGTAGTGTGTTTTGGGACATATTCCATTAGGATTTATTGGTTTTAACAAGCCACCAATAGAAGGCAACCTATTACCAGTAGAGGCCAACAGGGTCCATTACAGTTTCCAGTAAAACCAATACAAGTCCCATTATAACCAGTAAAACCATTACATATAACCATGTTTTATTCAGTAGGGGTTTTATTTTTTTTTATATTTCCAAAATATATCATGAAATATCTCGATTCTCAAATATGTGCAAGTAAATGCATTTTGCACCTTTATAGATTATGTAAATTCTCCAGTAAAGTAGCCTAATAGTATTAATCTGTTAACTTTGCATAAAAATTTGTCTTTTTACTTAAGTACCAGATAGAGTTTCATACCATTAAATATATTTAATACGACTGACTTTGTATTTAATGTGAAGTTAATAAAAACATAGTAAGTTACTAATTAGCCTATAACACTTTCATTGTACAAAAAGAGAGCAAAGAACGTTTACACTATCAAAGAACATTTTCACTTCAGTCCAGCGAATTCAAGCACTCTCAAAAACTCCCATAATAATCTCTAAAGCTGTTTACACTGTAAAATTAATATCTTACTTACATTCGTACATCTTCACTTTGTTGTTTCTGATGAGATAATTAGCCAGAGATTGCAGTCAGGCAGCGCGCAGTGACGAAACAGCGTGTTTCAGCGGTGACTCATCTGAACGCCTCTGATTGGTCTTTGTATTCATAAACTCAACAGAATCGTATGGGATTGGTTATAATGTGCAGCGCTTTAAAAACGTGTGTGTCTCTGGCTCTGTGCCAGCCAGCGAGCTTGTTGCCCCAGAACCGCCCCTGCATTCATTGATCGGACGGACGTCTTAGTGTTTCGCGTTTACATTACTATTGATTATACACTCAAAGCCTACAGAAATTCATTACATGGTTTGTTTTTCATTTTAAATGTGTTCAAATAGGACTTTTCGCCATTTAATGTGGTGGCATGGCACGGAAACTACACACCGTACAAATACAACCTGGAGAACTTCATGGTCCTCAACTGTGTGGCGTTTGATCACGCTGTAAGTAATTTGCTTCATTTGACGTCTTAAAATCACTGCATTTGCGCCGTTAATCAAATTACCTGAATCGTTATTTCCAGGATCCGTCGATTTTCACCGTTTTGACAGCAAAATCCACACGTCCAGGTGTGGCCATTGCAGATTTTGTCATCTTTCCCCCTCGTTGGGGTGTAGCTAATCACACCTTTCGGCCTCCTTACTACCACAGTAAGTCTGTGTTGATACATACTTGTATTGAAACCAAGTGAAATTTCATGCGGTTAAAGAACGCCCTCTATCTATGCTAAAAGGGAACTGCATGAGCGAGTTTATGGGATTAATCAAAGGCCACTATGAAGCAAAGGAAGAAGGTTTCCAGCCTGGAGGAGCCAGTCTCCACAGCATCATGACTCCACATGGTCCTGACGTCGACTGTTTCGAGAAGAACAGCACAGCTGTTCTCAAACCAGAGAGAGTTGCTGAGGGCACTATGGTAATGTTTCATTTTGAAATACATCATGTAAAGGGCTAGATGATGTTCTAAATAATGCTGTATCCAACAGGCATTCATGTTTGAGTCATCCTTCAGCATGGCTGTGACCAAGTGGGGATTGGACACCTGCCACCGTCTCGATAAGAGCTACTATAAATGCTGGGAGGCTTTAAAAAGTCACTTCAATCCAAACTGGAAACCCAGCAGCAAGTAGAACATGAAGTACATGGTTACACCTCAACAGTCGTCATAATATTTGTCTGACGTAGATCGGTGATTCACAATGGTTTTCTCTCTAGAATGGAGTTAACCAGAGATGTTCTACGATATAAAAACAAAACATGCTATTAGATAACCAATAAAACAAAACGCAGGGTTTCTGCAGGTTTTATAAAGGAAATTTTAAGACAGTTTTAAAGGCCTTTTTAAGACAAAGAAAATATGTTATAAATTGAAGGGAACAGTGCATAAAAATGTAAATGTCTAGGGAGCACACCATGAGTTGTAATAGCAACACTTTTACACTTATTTTCAAAGTTTGAAAATACAAAATTCAAGAGGTCTCTTACTTTTTAATCCATTTACCAAAAAAAAACCATGTTTGCAGCTTTAATAGCTCTGCTCCCAACCACTAGTATATGAAAATAATTTTTACTGTACTGTGCAAAAAAGTAATGCTCTTCCTTAGTACGTTTGTCTTGTTTTTTTAGTGCAGATGTCTAAAGATTCTTAAAAATGACACAAGTCTTGCTTTCTGCAAAGCTGATCAAAAGGTTTATGATTAAAACAAGAATAAATATGTCAATGGTCTAAGAAACCTGAAAGGGAAAACAAGTTTATATGTCCCATAAGATCACAATTTTAATAATTCCTTCAGAAAACAAGACTTATATTAATTTTGCATCTTGAGTTGCATCTCATGTATCTTGACTTAAAGGGGGGGGGGGGGGAAAATGCCGTTTCATGCATTCAGGGTTGTTTACACTGTTAAAGAGTTGGATTCTCATGCTAAGCATGGACAAAGTTTCAAAAAACAGCTTGGATGTATGACAGTATTTCTGTGCCAAAAATCTTCCGGATTCGTACAAGTTTCAGAGTTTTTTTCCGATCGTGGCTCTTCATGACGTAGACGAGGGTGGAACTCCTTATATGGGCATTTCTCCCGGAAGAGCGCGCCGTGCACGCATCGACCAGAGCAAGATCGCACCGGGAAGAATGTCTCCAAAGAAGTGTTTTTGGTTGTAAGGGAAAGATAACTTTGTTCCTAAAGAACCCAGCGATATGTAAACAGTGGATACAGTTTGTTTTTCTAGAGCAGCAACGGAGTTTCACAAGTGTGTTTGTCGAGGAACGTTTTAGAAACAAGGCCCAGTTCGACACTGGATTTGCACATCGTTTGACACTGAAAGATGGAGCGGTCCCAGCTATAAAAGATCCCGGTCATGATTCAGAACTGCAGACGGAAAGTGAAACGGCATCAGATGTCTGTTTTGTTGGCATTCGGCACCCAAGTGCTCCTCACTCTTTAGCTCTGCCCACGGCGCGCCTCCAGGAGCTCGGCTTTTTCTGGAAAGAATCGTAAAGCTGTATCTTTCTTTTATAAATATGATCAAACTAAAGACATTTTGGAGATATGAAGGATGCAGTACGACTCTATAGGTACTCAAGATTAACATTAGATTGGGTGAAACTGTGTGTGTTATGCCCCCTTTAAGGATATTTAGATATTTGTATTGGAAAACAAGAAAGCAATACTGAGGAACTGTGAGCTGTAAGGTCTTGTATAGACAGGTGTGTGGCTTTCCTAATCAAGTCAAATCAGTATAATCAAACACAGCTTGACTCAAATGAAGGTGTAGAACCATCTCCAGGATGATCAGAAGAAATGGACAGCCCCTGAGTTAAATATATGAGTGTCACAGCAAAGGGTCTGAATACTTAGGACCATGTGATATTTCAGTTTTTCTTTTTTAATAAATCTGCAAAAATGTCAACAATTCTGTGTTTTTCTGTCAATATGGGGTGCTGTGTGTACATTGAGGAAAAAAAATTAACTTAAATGATTTTAGCAAATGGCTGCAATATAACAAAGAGTGAAATTTAAGGGGGTCTGAATACTTTCCGTACCCACTGTATGTATACAACATTTAATGCCAAGACTTTATGAATTTTAAGACATTCCGCTCTGACCTTTTTAAGGCCTTAATTTGTGGAAAAGGCTAATTAATACTTTTAAGACCCGCAGAAACCCTGTAAATGAAATTACAAAAATACTGTGTGATTTCTTATTTTTCTTCAATAACAGCGATAAAGGAAGTTTCAACAAAGTATTTTATTTAGTATATAATTACAAGTACTATGTTACAATATACAGTGAATTCCAAAGAAATTAGGTTGATAGTTTATAGGGGCGCTCGTAGGTCCCTGCCTTAATCTTGGCCTCCCTTTTGTCCTGGAAAAATGGGATAAACAGGGTTAAAACTGATATAACCACTGCAACTTTTGACGACATCAATACTGAATATGAAGTGAATTCATACAGCTTCAACTCACCCTGTCTGTTTTAAACACAACATACAAGACGAAAAGTGGTAGAACTCCAAACAAGCCACCAATCAATGAAGTTTTAGCAGTTGGTCTGAAGTAGTTGTTATTGGTGCGCGCATGTGTCCACCGTGTAAGAGCAGGATCCTCCTACGAATAAAACACATGGAGGTTAATGACTTGATCAAACTGTTTAAATGTGTCAGGGTACCTTCTGGAAGTTGCAATAATTCAGTTGTCAGGATTGTAAACAATAAAGGGGCAAACCACACCCCGGAAAATGCATTCTGAATAAGAATATAGTCTGATTGAAATTTAACAAATTACCTCTTTTTACATAAAGACTATAAACACATGTGGACCAAAACAAGCTGGCAGGCAATATCTGCTAGCCAGCGATCAGTGAAGGTCACTCACTGCGGATTCAATATAAAACACTCTAGGCTTCGGAAACATGAATGTGGACTAAATCATTAAAACATTATGAAATTATAAACTAGCACAATAAGAAATAAAATCTATATACAGCTTCGTTGTAACGGTTTTACCCCAAGCTAATGTTTGCAGATTGTGATATTCGGTTCGTCTTACAATCAGCTCTTTCCGATGAGGATTGTTCAGCTGCTCCAGATACTGCCGCTTCAGCTGTGCCCGCAGAGCCGCTCTCTTCTCCTCAGCCCGCCGGTAATCAGGTGAAAGATTGAAGTATTCGGCTGGATCTAATGTTTTCGGCCGAGAAGCCAAAGGAGCCTCTTTGTAGTTCGCCATGATTGCGAACAGCGCAAAACACGCCCCGACAAAAAGGAGAAATCTGATTGGCTGCGCGTCACCTTCGCGAGTCTCGCGGTAATTCAAAATACTGTCTCGCCAATTAAGGGTTACTGGGTTGTCCGATTTCTATGACAGCGCATCTAACATCGTATAAATCGGTGTTTATTTTAGTATCATTGATATGCTATTGTAGTTGTTGTTAATATTTGGAATTGAATTTGTATATATAGGTTTAAATTTTAGCTACTGTTAAAGTAATTTAATTGTGTTTTTAGTAATTTTATTAGTTTTTAAATATACAGGTTATAGCTACAGGCTATATAATAGGCTATAGAATAATAGTTTTTAAAATATATTTTTAGTTATTGTAGTAGCCTACGTCAACTTTAAAAATAGGCTAAATGTATAAAATAATGTTTTATACACACTCACTTTTATTTGACCACACAAAACCAGTCGAAACACAAGACTTTATTTATTCAAATGAATAAAACAAATCATATTGTGCGAAATATTACTAGAGCTGCATGTTACATTCCAGCCCCAGATATTGACACACCACTGGACTGGACCACTGGATCCTGAGTGATCTGAGGAATCTCACAAACATCACGCACAGAGACACAAGCAAAGTCCTTTCGGTCACTTTCCGACAGTTTATCTATAGCGAGAAAAGTAGAAGTGTGGATACCCATTTTGACCAGTAGAGGAAGCTATAATGCAACAAAAGTGTTATTTCATACATAAAGCTAAATTAGGGAACAGCTATGAGTCTTACCGTTGTTAACTATGCAGCATTTGCTGGTACCCAAATCCCTCCATTCATTTATATACCTGAGAGACAAGCAAATATTCTTATTTCTAAATGGGATATTTTATGATTACCATAATGATGAAAAAATTATGATGCCATGTAGCCTACAGTATATCACATCTAATGTCATATTAGCTAAATTACTCATCAAAATTGAGAGCTTTGGTCCATGCCAGCAGTTCATCCACTTCCTGCTCAGAAACTGAATCTGTTCCAATCTGTTCAAGGGAATCCATCATTCTGTGTGGATTTTTGGACCAGCAGAGCTGTTTGGCTGTGTTCAGTACCAGTATGCAGGAGACCCCCAGCATACCTGTGCTTACAATTATGCTGTCATTCACATCTTATATTCCAGGTTTTAGTATGATTAGCTCTGCAGAACATATCTCACCACCTACCACAAGCAATCAAACAGTTACTTTAAATACATTTTTAAAATGTTACATTTTTCTCATCCATTCGATTTTATGAATCTTCTTTTTTCTTGCAACATCTTGTCGCCGTCAGATTTTGCAGTGATGGAATTCTATTTTCTTAATATTGGGATCTTGAGTTATTGGGTCTTCAAACACGGAAATCTTTCATCATAAAGGCAATGATAGACACATAATGCTTAGTCATGCAACATTTGAATATTTTTCTGACTGTTACAATTTATATTGTACATGAAACAGTAGAAGGTAGAAAGTGTATATTTTAAAATGTAATTTATGGAGAGTGGAGTAATGGCTGCTGAATGTTTGGTTGGATATGTTTCATTTATTGAGTTGCATTGATATACAAAAGGTAAAATGAAAATGAAAGTATTATGACTGGATATGTCACCTTGCAAGACAAAATCCTCCAGCCATTGTTCTCCACCCGTTGGTACCACCCAGAGTGATCATTCCCATCATTGATCATCATTCGGCCATTATGAATCTGGCTTGGAGCAGGTTTCTTTAGCTGCGTGTAATCTTTAAGACTGGAGGCGCACATGTCCACTATGGGTGCACGAGTGTATATTTTAAAGTAGATGTTTGGAGGATAGGTTGGCTGGAATTTTATAAACGTTAGTAAGTAATTTGCAATTTGTGTGTTTACTTATAATTAGCTTTCCAATAACGTAACCTAGAGCAGAACACAATAACAGCATGTTATTAAGTACAAATAACTGTCTAATCATTGAAAAATGAATCACATCAGCACTCACCCCACCCAGTCTGAATCGGATAAGCGCCCCTGAAGCAGAATCCAAAATATTAGCCTACAACAAAGAATTCAGGCATACGGTTTCAAAAAAAAGGGAAGAGGAAAAACATCTCAATTAAGCTTCACATATGCATTGTAACAAACTTACCTCTGCAGGGTTAATAAATCTAAGGAGACGTGGATCCCCTTGATTATGGAGACTCACTAGTTTCTTGAGGTGCTTGAAGACAGCAGTATCCTACACATGACAGGCACAGTATGCACTACTTTTTATTTGTGCATTCAATCATATGTAACAAAGTTGGAGAAAAAGTAACATGAAAGTTGACTGTGATCACTAACAACATGTGCCCTCCATGCTCGCTGGATGATCCTGGCTGCTCTGCTGAAAACTGTTTCCAGCTGTGGGACAAGTATGACATTAGACTCTGATGTAGTTTCCCCAGATGGAGCTGTTGGGTGATGGCTAAAGGGGGGAATGATTGACAGTTTTTTTTTTCTATTGCTTCACTCGTTTAGTAACGAGTCTGCATGTTTTGCTGTATTTCACACCTGTCAAAAGAGTATGTGTGTTCAATTGTCTTGTTCATGCTAGCACATGCTGCTTATAGGATAGAGAGAGAGAGAGAGAGAGAGAGAGACAGTGAGTTTATTCTGTAAAACATTAACATGGATTTACATTTCAATTCCTTTGCTAGGTATGGGAAATGGGATTATTCAACTAGGATTATGACTATTTTATTGGATTATTAAACTACATTTAACTCCACCATATAGGCCTAACGTTACTCAATTCAAAAATAAGACAGGTGTTTTTAATAAACCACTTCTGTTGAGACCACAAAATGTTACTTACTTGATCAGTCGAGTCCTCTTCATTCTCAAGAAACAGAATAGCCAATATTCTTAAAAATGCCTGAATTAAAATGTTTAATGGGTAGAAGGAGCTTAAATAGGCAATGCGTTGTATCCTTATAATATTCAAATCAAACCAATCCAGTGAATATCGAAAAGTAAACAAAAGCGTGAACTGGATTTTCACAATGACATCGACAAGTTGAAGTAAAAAAACGTAGAGGGGGCTAAAGCTGCAACCAAAGAGTAAACAACATTGAGGGAGTTTAAAAACGAGAAAATAAAGCCTAGACAGTACGACATTATGGAGACGGGTGCAAATGCACGCCTTACACCCACAACAGCCGTTACCAGAGCAACGTGAAAACAGACTCATCCAACTCAGTGATAGAAAGCTAGAAATATACGAGATCCAAAAGCTTTTTTTTTTTAAAGGAGAACTACGTGTGGAGTAGGAGCTTCGTTTAACAAAAAGATTCGTTCAGTGGTCCTTTCAGCAGGTTACATCTTTACGAAAGTTAAAAAAATAATACTCAAAATACTCAAGAGGGCCAAAGAAGGCAGTCATGTTTTTTTTTAAAGAACAGGCCTACTGCTTCCGCATACCTGTCAACCATTACTGAAACATCGATCTATAAGAGGGCCAAATTAGTTGCATCATTCATAGTCATAACTGTTCATTGTGGCAGGTTGTGACATGACAGGCAATGTTTTAATGAGCTGTAATTAAGGAATTTCTGTTATTAGAATTAAAGAGTTTACTAGACCACAGAGTGTACTTGCTAATTAAAGGTTAGCATAGCAGTTTAACTTGAGTCATGTGCAAAGTTAGTCATTTACAGATCATTTATTAAATTTTTTTTATAAGTGATCAATATTCTTCTTCTTGTGCCTTAAGAAAAATATAGTGTAGTCAATATATTAAATGTTAATAAATATAACCGATTTAATGAAGACATTCAAGAATTCCCTTACAAAAAGGTCCCGTAGGCCTATGTTATACAGCATTTAGTAGTACTGTGTTGTTGTCAGTGCTGCAATTGAGCATCTTAACATCTTATGGAGGTCCCTAGGCTCTAGGGGAGAAATGATGCCCCAACCCCTGCTCTGCATAAAAAATTATAAAAAAGATCAATTAAAATTACACTGAAAGCCGCACACAAATAGCACAATTAAATTATACAGCAAATAAAATTAACTGTGAGGTCTTATTTAAGAATGCTTAGTTCATCTAGTGGTATGTCTTTTGCATAGACTGTGAGAGGCCGTGTTTGAACCTCAAATTAACAAGTTGCAGATGTCACACAGGCTATGCCAGGATCAGCCAGTTTTCAATAACACTTTCATACTTTTAAAAATAATATCAAATGGATAGCAGACTTCTGTAACATCATCTTCTTTACAGACTTAACCATAATTAATGTGGAATCATCAGTGTTACAGGGGCACCGATATTCAATTTTTCTATTCTTTTTTTTTTACTGTTAAAAGAGCAGTACGAGTTGAGAAAATTCAAACACCTCTGTTAAACAGTTGGGGTTCAGTTTCTTACTTTACAGCTACTGACTATAGAATGTCTGTCAGGAAAATAATGTATTGTAACTGACATGCTGTGCTTTCAAATGCCACAGTGAATGAAACAGTCAATAACCTACAATAAAAGGAATGATGTGAGAATTCACAATTTCAAAGCCTTAAGATCCAGAAAATATACTTAAAAAACCTAATGAAACAGTGCATTGTACTGTATTGTATATTAATTCATAATGAAATAAAAAATTGTTATCCTCAAACACTAAAGTATTCAAAAAGCCCATTATATTTAATTTATAACAAAAAATATGAAATCAACATGGTCTTATAGTTCTGATATATTATAATTCCTTCTATTCATATCCAATCTGGATTTCTAGTTGTTATTACAATTTAGATCGTTTCTAATTTCGTAGAAGCGTATATATGTAACCACATATTCAATATGATGGAATTGAACACATAATTACCTCCTCTAAAGTTCTGTTTCTACAGCATCATCACAATTGTCAAGATAGTATTCATCATCGGTTGTGGTGTCAGAATCAGACTCCTCAAAAACAGTCAAGCTGGTTGTGTAGCTCCTTGATGACAGGATTCCACGAGTAGGAGACTTTTCTGGAGTTGTCCACATGGGGGAAGATACAGAAGGTGCCTGGGATATCCGACGAGGTGAAGAGGACATAGTTGGTGATGGAGGTGGGGTTGGGTCTGCATCATAATGATCAAGATCAAGATCATCTGTATATCCAGGTTCAGACTGTTTACCAGTGATAGATTTGGCATCACAGATTGGAGAATGGCTACTACTCATTGGAGAGTCAACTACTGTATAATCCCCCTTCGGCACAAAGTCATCCAAACTTGACAGGTCGCTGATGCTGCTTGTTGAGATTCGTCCAGGACCTGATGGGCGGCTTGAAACCACACTGCTTACTGAGAAAGATCGTCCATTGTGTAGACCATACTTTAAATCAGCACATGACGAGGACAAGTGAGACCTCACAAGGTTTTGCTGCACGGGACTCTTGGAGTTCAGAGAAGAGAAGTAATCAGACTCACACAGTGAATTTGTTTTTTTGCTCACTGGACTATTAAACACATTATCATTCTGAATTTCTTCTGAATCAAAATCAAACAAATAAAAGGGTGATGGGGGACCGACAGAGGATTTTCTGTAATGTGGCAAGGTGGCAGAACGATTCATACTTTGGGCCTTTAGCCTATGTGGACTAAAGCTCCTACCATAAGAATGGTTTCCATTTTCATCGCTATGCCTCTTTTGCTGATCAACATTTAATTTATTCTCAGATGATTTTTTTAATGTTAACGGTGACAAAGACTCAAAAGAAGCAAAAGGTGCTTTATCAGTGGTCAATGATGAGTTGGGGGCCTCCCATGTGCACCCAGAACCCTTTTGTTCAGTTGTAGATCTATTTTGCCAATCCATATTTAAGGTTTTCTCAGATATCTTTAATGTACATGGCAACAAGGACCCAAAAGAGGCAAAAGATGATTTATTGGTGGTCAAGAATGAGTTAGGGGCCTCCCGTGTGCACCCAGAATAATTTATTTCAGCTGTAGACTTATTTTGTTCATCCATATTTAATGTATTCTCAGATTTTTTGAATGTTAGTAGTGACAAGGAATTTAAAGAGTGTTTATCAGTTATTAAAGAGTAGTTAGAAGGTTCCGGGTGGCTCTCAGAACATGTGTTCTCCTCTGGCTTGGGACTTTCAAAAGTCTCAGTATCTGAGGGTTGCTGAGTGGGACTCTTGTTCTTTTTCGGTAGTGCGTCAAGTGAGCTGTTTGAACGTTTGACACCAAATGTCAGTTTCAAGCGATTTAACATCTGGTCAATCCTGCTGCTCGTTTTAAACACTGGCGAATGTCTTTTGGTTTTTAAATACTGGGGACTAACAACCTCTTTGTCTGGCAATGAAGCTGACGAAAAGACAGCTTCTTTGTCTTTGTTAACTCGTAAACTAAAGAGGCCTTTTTTTGAATTGGAACTTTGCATTTCCTGTAATCTCTCATGCATATGCACAGCGGGAATCTCTTTCTCAGCTGTCAGTGGAGTCTCGTTTTCTACTGTGAGCTTATACTTATCTTTCTCATTCAGCCTGTGCTTGGGGTAAGCATTACCCTTATCAAGCTGAAGTTCCATCAAGCCATCATGCTCCTGATGGCAGAAGTTGTTAGAGCCTGTGTCTGGCTGCCTTGGGTGTGGGCTTATATTTGCGCTTTGGCGTTCCATGACAAAACTTGTATCTGGTGCAACTTGTAAGAGGCATGGCTGGGCAGGTTTGTGATTATCTAGGGCGCTTGTATAATCTTGAACTGCTGTCCTCTGTTTTCTGTTAGGAGAAGCTAACTGTTCCTTTGGTCTTCTTATTATGCCTGTGTATGTGGACAGTGAAGAGCTTGGATCACCTTTTATGAAGTCTGCAGGAGTGGTTACAATATCATAAGATGTAGATCGGGTATGAGTTTTGGACACAGGTGGAGAGGATAGTTCTTGTAAAGTGTTGTTGAGTGTAGGTCGTGAGGAGATGAGGCTAAAATATGGAGAAGTGCTGAGACGAGGTGCTGATCTTCGTCCAAAATCAGGAGGCAGAGATTGAGCTGGTACTATATGAGAGCTGGAGCTATAAGAGTTTCTTTGTAATGCTTGTACCTGTGGCACAAATGGGTTGAAGTCAAATGAAAATCTTGAAGGTAGTGTTTTCCGGTCACCCTGCAGTGTTACACCTCCATCTTGCTTAGGAGGTGATGTTTCACCTCTCTGTATGTGGGAAGAAGTGGTGGAAGGGGAAGGGGTGGACACAGCCGGGCTGGACTCCCGTAGGTATGAATAAATGCTTGGTACTCTTACACTTCTGAGAGGTCTGCTTGGAGAAAGAGAGCTCGAAAGATCCATAGTGCTTTGACTTGACTGAGAATATTTCTTAGAGTCCAGATATATATGCCCCACATTTGTGGGACTTGTTCCACCAGAGTCTTTCCTGGGTGAGTAGTTAAGCCTGTCTGTGAAGGTGCCTGTACCTGAAGAACTACTGGATATTATATTGTGTGTACTTTGTGATTTTAATTTTTGAACATTAAAGCCAGATTGTTGAACATTGTTTGTTAAAACTTTGGGAGAAATTGTGGTATCTGGAATTACTTTTTGTCTGGTCATATTGGAGTTTTGCAGGTTGGTGTTGTTGGCAGCATTTTGTTCCGCTGGATCTATGTCCTCTGTATTGGAATATTTCCTCAAAAACACTGAATAAGAACTCTGTTCAGCTCTGAGAATTCCAAGTTGGCCGGTTTTGGTTGTGGAGATTGGGAAACGTTCTTCCTCTACTCTGGCAACAGAAGCTTCAAGTCTCTGATAAATTTCTGTCTCTGGTTTGTTTAGAAACAGTGATTTTCTTAATGGCACTCTACTCTTAATTCTATGTGAGAAAAGGAACTGACTGACTGCTATTTCCTCTGTTCTTGCAGGAGTGTCTGGATATTCGGGGGTTTGGTCATCAGCGGTAACAGAATGGGCAAATGATGGAGTTTTCAAAACAACTCTGCTAGGCAATGTAAGGGACCTGACAGAACTAGTCATCTGAGTCTGTGATTGTGTGGGATCAGCACTGGAGCTTCTCAAATTTGACCTCCTCAAGGAAAGAAGTAGACTGCTTGTTGTTGGCTTAGAGCTCAATGATTTGAAAGCCTCATGTTCATCTCCAGTGTTTGATATTCTGTACTCTGAATGGGCCAAATTTGGTACCTGACGAGTGTCCAGAGGTGTGGGAAAAGAATGCAAATCTGTATTATTGTACATCATGCCCACAGAGGAGGATTTAATAATGGGTCTCGTCGGCTGTATTGTGGTTGTGATGTTCGGGGAATTGTTCTCTTTTTGCCAGTCAGGACAGTTATAGCTGGTTCCTGCAGTCAACTGCATGTCACTGTCATTGGCCAACATGTGTTCAGATGGTCGCCTCTGGGAAGGAAGAAACGGTTGTTGCTGCCGATCCTGGCAAAATAAGGTAGATGGGTTGACATTCTGTCCACAATCTTGGGGCTCATGCTGTACTTCGCTGCAGCCTTGCTTGGGTCTTTGAAGACGGCCACTCCAAGGTAGAGGAAGAACTGAGGCCAGGGCCGATGTCAACATAGCTGATGTAGGATTGAAAAGACCAGGTTCTGGCTCAGGGGTACTATCAGAATGAAGAGCAGGAAAAGAGTCTAATGGCAAGACCTGATTTACTACTTCTGAATAGTGTGCAAAAAACTGGGAATCAGTGCTTGCTTTTAGACCATTGTCCCCTTCAAAGGAGGTCAGATTACTGTGGTACTGTGGAGTTGTTGCAGTATTCTTTCTACAGTCATTGGCTCCAGATTCCTTGTTGAATTCTGTTTGAACCTCACAAACAGGTTGAGTAGAATGTCTTTGTGAGCCGTTGTGGACAATTTGCGTTTGTTCATGAAGGCCTATGTTGTGTTGTATTCCTGTATTTTGTCCCTGCTTTGGTGTGTTATGTCCATGTTGATGCAGAGTGGTAAAACTGTCTTCATCAAAGCTTGCTTTTGGCCCATCCCTATTCTTAAATAATTCACCAGTTGATTCGCCACATTGCTCAGTTGGTGAAAGCACGTCCCTTAGCTGTCAGAACAAGCAACAAAGCTTTGGATTAGTGCCAAAAAAAGTACAAAACACAGGCCCTAATTCAAGCACAGTAGCATTTGTACATTTTAGACTAGTACATTTCAGAGTTGCTTGGGAAAATTGCAAGAAATGCTTCTTGCGTGTTTTTTAACTATTTGAACAAATCACCACTCCCATTCCATAACTGTTTAAACAGACAGTTCAACTTCACAGTTGAGCTTTACATTCCACTGAAAAATACTCTGCATATCAAAACTGCAAACATGGCCCAGTAGAGCGGAATGCATTCAAAGGGCAGTACAATAAAGATATCTCATTATATTTAAGCAAGATACGTTTGATTAGTAAGACATAGATTTGATCTTTACATCAGACGATCTCTTACTAAAACGATAAACAGTCTCATTCTCATGACTGTCTTAGATTGAATGCTTACCTCTGTGTGGTTTTGATTAGCTGTGTTTTTTATGGCTTCATGTGTGCTGTAACTGTCAAATTGAGAAAAATTTTTTTAATTAGCATATGATTTTTTTTAATGAGCAAACAAGAATAAAAATAAGTTCCCTCAGGTAGATAAACAAAGAAAACTATGATGAAAACAAATCTCTCATCTAATTCAATGTTTCACACGCTATTCTTACTCCCTAAATACTTTTACTAGTTCAACATCTTTCATATATTTAGCAAGACAACGCAGGAAAACAAGACCAACAACATTCCATTCTTTCTCTCAGTTTAAGCATTCTAGGAGTAAACAATTCATTGGCCTGACATGAAGGGAGGGGTCCATTGTTAAAACTCTTTTAAAATTAGTACAGAATGTCTCACACACATTAATGCATACGGTCAGATACATATACCACTTACACACACACAAAAAACCCTAGTTCACTTCCAGAATAAAACTTTCCTGATCATTTACTCACCCCCCATGTCATGTTAATTTTTTTTTTTAGAAAATGACAGATTGTTTCGCTAGATAAGACCCCTAATCCTTAGCAGGGATCATACAGAACCCTTTGAAGCTGCATTGAAACAGCGATTTGGACATTCAGCCCGTTGGCCCCCATTTAAGTCAAGTCAAGTCAAGTCAAGTCTGCTTTATTGTCAATTCTTCCACATGTACAGCACATACACACAGAGAATTGAAATTGCGTTACTCTCAGACCCTTGGGTGCATACAGATAACATAAATAAGATGCAGCAGTGGGGGTCGGTGATGGAGTGGGCCTCCGGAGCAGACCGAGATCCCGCAGCTCTTCGGCGTGCGCAGAGTTTAACTCTAAAAATGTGGTTCTGCCGACATCGAGCAGAAACTCACGACAATATGCGCGCTTAGAAACAAATAGACGCGACGAATGCGTACAAAAACACTGCGACTCACAAGACAAAAAACACGAAAACACCTTTCTGTCGGGAGAGAGAGAAGCCGCAGCGTGTGAACGCGCCGCCATCTTGGGTTTTTTTCAAGATTTAAGTCCATTATATGGCGAAAAATCCTGGAATGTTCTCTTCAAAAACCTTCATTTCTTTGCAACTGAAGAGAGAAAGACATGAACATTTGAATGACATGGGGTTGAGTGAATTATCAGGAAATTTTTATCCTGGAAGTGAACTAATCCTTAAATGTCTGCTTTAAAAATGAGAGGCAGTGATGTCATACCTTTTAAACAAGATACTGTAATACTGCACAATAAATGTCTATTTACCGTTTCCAAGATCAAGGTGTAAACACTTTATAAAGGTGTAAGCAGTGTTTGAAAGCATGAACCCACCTAGATAAGGTACAGCCAAACAGCAAATCTTTGCCTATACACTTTCACACTATCATTCACCATAATTAAATCATGAATTATTGCTATATAAGGACTATTACTGCCAGTCATGTGTCGAAAGGGCGTTTGCTGTTCTGGCTGGGACTGTGCAAATGACACAAAACACAAAGTGCTATGGCATAATTTACAAGACAAAATATATTATTATGTGCAGTGTATATTAAGTGGAATCAAATTTTCATAAAACATTTACTAATAGGAAGACTAAAGCCCCGTTCACACCAAGAACGATAACTATAAAGATAATGCTTGGATATTAACGTCCACACCAGCGGACTATATCGTCTGTTTATTCTCAGCGCACACGCGCCTGCCGCTTTAAATTCTTGAGCTCGTTATAGCAGGATGGATTCTGATTGGCTGGCAATGTTTGTGTCGTTCATCAACTGGAAAACTCACAGGCTATTTGTAGCTTGCAGTGTTTTTTCCTCCGCGGTGTCTTTTTTGTTTCTTCTATTGGGAAGACTGATAGAGATGGTGGAAGTAAATCTGGCAGATTTCCTCTGTTCCTCAGATGTCCTACTGGAGTCTTCCTTAGATCTGAGAAGTATTATTTGCCTGATCTGCAAATCTGATCAGTGGAGAAGTGTTACAAGGAACAGCGTGATATATATATATATATAGATAGATAGATAGATAGATAGATAGATAGTACTGTGCAAAATTCTTAGGCCATTAGTATTTTCACCAAAAAAAAGGTTTTAAGCCAGTTATTTATTTTGCTGTAGTGTGTCAGTAGGAAATATCAGTTTACATTTCCAAACATTTCATTAGCCATTAATCGGAATAATGCAATTAATTGGAGATTTTTGTAGGCACAAGGAGTCAGTGCTCCACACAGAGATCTGATCTCACCATCATGCAGTCTGTCTGGAATGACATGAAGACACAGAAAAAGCTGAGACAGACTAAATCCAGAAGAACTGTGTCAACGTCTCCAAGACACGTCAAGAAACCTACCTGAAAAACTATGTGCAAGTGTACCAAGGACAAAAGCTGCTTTTTTGAAAGCATCCTCACTTTACAGCATTTTTACACAAGTGCCTAAAACTTTTCACATTACTGTAGCTTTGCAGGTAGGGTTTCTTGAAGCATCTTGGAGACGTTGCCACAGTTCTTCTGGATTTAGTCTGTCTCAGTTTTTTCTGTTTCTTTATGTCATTCCAGATGGACTGGATGATGGTGAGATCAGATCTGTGTGCAGCACTGGCTGTTGTCAGACTCCTTGTGCCTACAAAAATCTCACTACAATTAATGGCAAAAGGTATGCTTGGAAATGTAAACTGATATTTCCTACTGACACACTACAGCAAAAGATATAAAAAATAACTGGCTTAAAACCATTTTTTGCCTGTGAAAATACTAATAGCCCAAGACTTTTGCACAGTGCTATGCATGCTTCATTTGACATTACATACATATAATTAAAATGAACAGAACTTTTAGTCAGAATTTTATGAATTTATGATGAGCTGTTATGTCCCAAAGTTTTTGTCTGATAACAAATGTATCTGATAATCCAGTCATACAAACTCACCTCTGCTGCTTTTCTGCTGGCCTGTTAACTGCAACGATGGTGAAGATGCAGTAGTTCTAGTTTCTAAATCTTTCTTGTTGTGGATGTGTTGAGCCAATGGTCCAGGATGTAACTTCTCATGTTCACTTACATTCTGAAAACTAATCAAGCTTCGGCATTATAATACTGCAACAATACAGTCTACAGAGAACTGGAGACCGTTTTTCTCAACAAACACCACATGTCTGCAGCTAAGGTTCACTCCCTTCAGAAAAATTCTTCACAGGAACACCCACAGATGTTTTCTAAGTATATCGACACATGACAATGGCAGTGAAATTTCAATTGTTTTGTCCTGCCTCTACATGTGCTAAGAAAATGATTACATTACTTGCCAAGTAGACAGAAAACACTTTCTAAATGTTTAATGTTGAACATTTTAATTTTGGCTAAATTACTATTTGTTAAAATTATTATTATTAAAAAATCATGAGACAATGTGGGTGTAACAAATTGCATAAGAGCTAAAGTATTACCATAAACATGGTGAGACATGTTGAGATGACATTCAGCAAAAGATTAATAGCAGTGACACCAGATATTTTGGAGGTGTGTTTAAAATCATCTGAAACAATTAAACTGAGATGCTGTCAAGCAAAAATGTTGGTAAAGATTTTTTTTAATCTTAAATGCTTGATTATTTTGCTAGGAATTTATGATTGTGCATGTGCAAGGCAACAGCAGGTAGCTATTATATAACTGGGGTGTACCAGACAAGAGATCAATGCTTGAATCAGTGTTCAGTCCATTGGCATGTTGTTATATTTCTTTGATTGTAAAATCATTTGTAACTGTGGTAAAACTACAACGGATACATCTTACTTAAATCAAACTAATATTTGCGCAAGCTCTTCTAATTACGTACGAACTTCAACCTGTCCACTTAAAGCTACAGACTTCCATTATGTTGTCCGAGGAGGACACAAAAGTAGGAAAAGTAGTATTTGTGTGAGAGAAGAACAGCAAGAAAACTTACTAAAAATTCCAAGAACTTTGTAGCCTACCGTGATTTGTCAGTTTGTGTGTACAATCTCTCCTGATCTGGGACAAAGCAAGTCACGCTGGCTTTCACTCCGCTTTGACAACTTGACTGCTGCAACTTCAGATCATGTGTTGACATTATAGGCTAACTATCTGGCTCATCTAGTTTGGTTACCTCCCTTTAATCCCTCCGGGCATCAGCTGTGCCATTAAGTACCCCCACAGGCGGCTCGACTGAACATTCCACCGGAGAAGATAGCGCGCGGTGAGGCAGACCCGTCATATCGACAACCGTAAGACCCGACGCCACCCGTTTCTTTCCCACCAAGGCGTGTGTTATCGAGGGCACAGCCGCGGAAGTGCGGAGTGAGCTTGTGCTTCAGCAACAAACTCCGTACTTTGAAATGTCAAGTTTATTACGGGACCAAAGACAGTGATAAGCATATACCTAGACATAACGTTTTCTTGTATCATGTGTCAACTAGTTATATTTCGGATTTTGTTCTTTTACTTGAGCGGCCAAAGGGGTTTCGTTTCAAAACTGATTTTAATTTAAATAATGATTATACCTATTTTTAAATACGTGTTATCTATGATGGCAGATAAGGACCAGAGGATAAACAAGCGATGACTGAACAATAGCAGGCCCTACGTGTGTTTTTTCCATGAATACCCGATAGGTAGGGTCATAAACAAAAGTGCATGACATTTCCGCGAATCGATTCTTTAGAACAATTCGTTTAAAGAACCAGTTAAAATGATTCAGTTATTCGTTTACGTCAAAACAATAGGCTTGTTTGAGATGTTGTTTTGAGAAATGTAGGCGAGAGCAGGCGGAGGGGAAGATAACTACGATATCAAATGATGTTAGGTGCGTTGGACTTGAAGCACTGCTATAGACGGCAGTCAACGAGAGTAGCCGCTTGCAGTCGGGGGCGGAGTTGAAAACGGAGCCGTCAAGCCGGACACTTTCTGCTCCCGTTAGTGACGCTCGCGCGGTGTTTGCATACTCTATCACAGATGAAGTGAATTAAATGCAATATTTGTCAAATATACAGACGTTTCAGAAACGTTTTCATGAGCAACAGATACGGATTATATACTGCTTAATACATCGCCATCTGTTCAACAATAAAGTTCAACGTAAATATACTATTTAAAGGGGTCATATGATGCGATTTCAATTTTTCCTTTCTCTTTGGAGTGTTACAAGCTCTTGGTGCATAAAGAAGATCTGTAAAGTTGCAAAGACTAAAGTCTCAAATCCAAAGAGATATTCTTTATAAAAGTTAAGAGTCAGCCACACCTACCTAAAACGGCTCGTTCTAACACGCCCCCACATATCTACCTCACTATGTGGGAAGATTTGCATAATGCCGCCCAAATGTTCACGCAAAGAAAGAAGGCATAACTTTTATTCTCGCTGTAGTATTGTTGCTGCCGTGCATTTCATTGTGAAAGCGAAACTACTTTGTTTGGTCTTCCAAAAGAGGACGATATCCGCTTCGTCATGCCTGGAGCTGATCCGTGCTGGTTGCTGAGGAAATACAACAACTTTGCGCTGTGGATCACCGGATCAGCTTTCACCGTGGACGAAGCGGAGTCCAGCCCGGGGTCGTCACATGTGGTTGCTGCAAGCCCTCCGCACGCTCCTCCGGTCACTCTAGGCCGCCGTGTGAGGCTGTGTTTCGTTGTGAAAGCGAAACTACTTTGTTTGGCCTTCCAAAACAGGACATGACTAGAAATCAGTGGTTAAGTTGTATTTACAACACTGTTCCAGAACAGTTCAACCCAAATATTCAGATGTGTGCAGCGCATTTTATGGAGGACTGTTTCCTGATCCTGGTAGAGTAGACTACAATGCCGGTTGTTCTGACTCACAGACTGTAAGTATGTTTTTTTTATATATAAAGAATTTGCCACTGATGATTCAAATGCGAGTTTTGAGCAGTGTAGAGTAGCGCTTGTTGTTTGTAATTTCTTCGATCACAAATGTAGACATGGTTTTATGTTTACGCGGCACGATGCAACACGTAAAAATACAGTATAAGTCATTATAATCAGTAATTATGTCTCCACTGGATGCAACAAATGCCTCGTTTATAAAGGGTTTTCATGTTTTTGTCTCGTCGCTCGGGCCGGACAGGGCATCACAGTATGGTAGAGGCGTAACATTTCCGTCACACACTTGAGGTATTCGGCCAATTACAATGCACTGGATAGCTGGCCAATCACAGCACACCTTGCTTTTCAGACCAAAGAGCTTTGTAAAAAATCGATGCGTTTCAGAAAGGCGGTTATAGAGGAGAAACATAATGTACAGTATGTGGAAAATAATGTGTTTTTTTAACCTTGAACCGCATAAACACATTTCATTACACATTTCAAGTACATTTCCCTTAATCACTCTGTGCAACTGAGGTTTACTGAGAAGAAAAATATTGAATAAATGGTGAATAAAATGGAAGGGAAAATCATTCCTAATTAAGATTTTTTTTTCTTGTCAGTAATCAAGAGGGATGGATTGCTGGTCAGGCATTCTGCTTATTCGGCAAAGATTAATAGGCTCAGAGCAGGATTCCTAATTATTTTATGTAGAAATACTAGAGGTCATCAGTTAGACTCATTAGCCCCACTGGCTTGAGGCAAGAAGCCTGGTTGTAGTTTTGCATTGCTGAAGGGTGTGCTACGCAGATACACACATACATGGACTTGAATAAAATAATTGTGATGAACCACTCTATTGTGTGTTTCGAGGGGACACGGGGTGGGGGGGGGGGAGTGTTCTATAAAGATGTGATGTTTATTTCCAGACAAAGGCAAAATAATCAGCCACCACAATTATAAATCTTGTCATGGAGTGATGCTTATCTCGATCCATTATAGCAATGTAATTTAATTCTGTAATAAAATCTAAACAGTTTTAATTAACTCTGCTGATTAAAACAGAAACCAATATAGTGCAAAAGGGCATAACTTGTATGATAAATTCATCTTTAGCCTAATGTCTCTCAGGTTTTTGGCACAAGCTTGGTTTGATCATGGTGCTGGTTGTAGTAGTCCGTTAGTTGGATGGAGTTACATATTTCATGGATGGCTTTTCATCATCCGGCAGTGCTGGAAAATGCATTATCTCCTGGAGAGATTATGACAAGGCCAATTCATAACTGTGAATTGATTTTCTTAAATGCTGGCTGCAAAATGGCAGTGTATTCAGAGCATGTATTGTGGTGGTTTGCATAATCAAGGGTTTATACGTTCCTAAAATAGCAATCACTAAATATAATCAGCAAATCAGAAAGACCTCAGTATATTGAATAGAACACATTTTGCTCCAGGTAATGAGTCAGTGCGGTTTCACACAATACCGTATATTTTAATACGATATTATTATTAGAGGCAGTGGAAGAGGAGGTATATTACTAACCAGACAGTTATGATGGTTGTGGCATAGTTTATATAAAACGTCATCATGGCACCAGATAAATATTCTTAAACTGTATTAAAGGAATAGTTCACCCAAACATTTGTTGAACATTTACTCACCCTCAGTCCATCAGTTAATATCTTGTGAAGGGAAAAACTGCATGTTTGAAAGAAATGAGTTCTCTATTCATAATATTGTGTTGTCCATTGAAAAAGTTGTTTCGTCTGAATTGGGTGAAAAACACACAGATTAAGCAACAACAAGAGCGAGCAAGTGAAACGAGGTGATGGAATTTTTTCAATGCCTGAAGCGTTATTATGAATTCTGATGATTCAAACGCGAGAAGCAATGGTTTAAAATGAAAACATCTTGATGAATTTGTTTCTTATAACATGCAACTTTTCACTTCATAAGACATTAACTGCTGAACTGGAGTCATGTGGATTACTTGTGGATTATTGTGATGTGTCTTTATCAGTTGTTTAAACTCTCATTCTGACGGGACCCATTCACTGCAGAGGAACCATTGGTGAGCAAGTGATGTAATGCTAAATTTCTCCAAATCTATTCCATCAAAGAAACAAACTCATCTACACCTTGGATGGCCTGAGGGTGAGTACATTTTCATTTTTGGGTGAACTATTCATTAAATGCAAAACTCATGCACTGCAGTTTAAATTAACTATATGGGAGTATCACATTACTTAAAACATGGTTCAGAATAAGATTTATTTTGCCAGACATTGCCATGACTAATTAATGACATGGTCCATAAAGGGCATAAATTTGATACTACAGTAATTAAAGTTGCCTTATATACAGCTAACTAGCTGTAGTTAATGCATTTGCCCTGTGGCCTGAAATCTACAGCTGACCAAATCCTGTCTTTAAGATGCCTTGAGCTCATTAAGCACCAAGAACATCTTTATTAATTGACAAGATAGTCGTTTAATTAAAAACCCAGAACCCTGTCATTCTGCAAGGCCGAGAGAACATTTGAGCAGGATGCTTGTGACTGGTGACTCAGAGGTTAACCGTGGCAGCAGCCTGGCAGCCGTATTGACTTCTGGGTAATTATACTTAAGTGGTGACTAGAGGAGGCAAATGGCAGTAACAGATTATCTGTTTTGAGGGGATGCATTCTTAGAATCAATAAGAGTCCATTTGTGGAAATAGGGCAATTTAGGAGAAAATACACCCCTGTTCTTGGTCCTAACAGAAGTCATTTGCCCCTGCAACCATACTGTAGGTCTTTAATTTTTTCCCCAAATCTCTCATAGTTAAATTAAGAAATAAAACGGAGGGATAAATAGGGAAAACAGTAGACATCAATAGACTCTCTGAACAGCAGTTTTATCTTGGTTTGTTTTCCTGTGTCTGAAAACAACATTAAAAATGAGGACGAGAAATTATTTTAACAGGACATACACTACCAATCAAAATTTTTGGGCAAGTAAGATTTTTTTTAAAAGAATAAATTCAGCATGGACACATTAAATTGACTAAAATTGAGTGCAAAGACATTTATAATGTTACAAAAGATTTCTATTTCAAATATATGCTGCTCTTTTGAACTTTCTATTCATCGAAGAATCCTGAAAAATTGTATCAGAGTTTCCACAAATATATTAAGCATAACTGTTTTCAACTTAAAAACAATAAATGTTTCTTGAGCACCAAATCAGTATATTCTAATGATTTTGAAGGATCATGTGACACTGAAGACTGGAGTAATGGCTGTTGAAAATGCAGCTTTGCCATCACAGGAATAACTGAAAATTGTTAATATATTAAAATTTTACACGAATGCTAATAATATTTCTGTTAATATTACTGTTTAACTGTATTTTTATCAAATAAATGCGGCCTTGGTGAGCAAAGATTTCTTTAAAAAACATTAAAAAAAAAA